TTTCAAATGAATCATAACCACATAGAAATAGGGCTACAACAACCAAAAAGCCATATATATATATATATATATATATATATATATATCAAAATTTAAACGAAAACCCATAAATAAGATATATTAGTTGTGAGACCGATGTATTACCTGAGTTAATTTCATATATATATATATATATATATATATATATATATATATATATATATATGTATTTCAAAATAAGAAAAATAATAAATTATTATAATCAAAATGTTTTTTATCGTTTAAATTTAAATAAATAAATTAAAGAAACTAATGAGCTTTAATTTTAGTAATTTTGAAATTAAAATGTAATTTGGTTAACCATTTATTAATATATTTATTTCAATTATTACATTAAAATATTATATGAAATTTAATAAAATAGAAAAATTCATAAAATGATAAGTGGAAAAAAATACATACATACCATTTTTACAGTTTTATTAAAACACAGTAAAAAAAAATAGATTTTATGAATATGCTCCGATTACCATAATTTTCTTGACAAGTGTTGTTTCAAATATAACGGTACAAACAATTCTAGTTGACTGACACTTGGAAACAAATGCAAACGACAATTTTGTTTTTAACTTTTAACAGAATTATATAGAACATTACATTTAGTCATTCTGTTTTTTCTAATTTCTTTTTTAATTTCTTCTTTTTGGAATATATATATATATATATATATATATATATATATATATATATATATATAGAGAGAGAGAGAGAGAGAGAGAGAGAGGATCAGATGAAAACATTAATATTTTGTGAAAATACAAAAACATATTTTATCCTATAAAGGTGAAAACATTAAATATAATAAGTTTATATTTGAGTGGTGTTGTGGTAATATGGAATTAAAGGTGGTTTAACAATTGTTTTTTTTTTCACGTCGTCAACCACTTATACATTCAAGTTTTCATAATAAAAATGTCAGAAAATATGATTTATTAATACAAAACAATTTCTCATGTATCATCAATTATCATCATGTAATTAAAGTTTAGATGGATTCTTGTCCAAAATGTAAGGTTGATGTGACATAATCTCATATGTTTTCCTTGTTTTCGCATTTTCGCAAATTATATTCATTTTTGCATATATATATATATATATATATATATATATATATATATATATATATATATATAGAGAGAGAGAGAGAGAGAGAGAGAGAGAGGTATGTAAGTAGGTTTCGTTGAGATTAAAAATAAAATAGAGATTTTGAGATTCAACCCCAGCCACATATATCACATCTGCCGCTCTAACCCTTTAGCATACCATCGCGGCAGACCTGTTATAATCATAAATGATTATATAACGCTGCCCATTGTTTTCTCATTCGCCACCATCCTTACCACCACATGTAACATCCTGGATTTGCAGGTATTTTTCGAGTCCTTTCCTTGATATTTCATTTGTGACATTTTGGTCCTTGGACTTGTTTGGAGTTAGTCCTAGGGAGTCCTAGTGGCATATTGGTATTTTAGAGGGCAGGAGATGTACGTTGCGCATACGTGTTGGTACACTATGCGTATTAAGGTGCACCCAAGTACGTTGGACATACACATATGTATGTTGAGCGTACTAGTATCCGAGTGAAACCCTAAATTTTAGGGTTTGAGGAGCATTTAACCATCATCTGGGACCAAGTGCCCTTATCCTTTCAGCTTCCAAGTCCCTCAGTTGTTCTTGCAAAACCCTAGCCCCTTGAGTGTGAGTGAGAGTCTTAAAGTGTGTTCATGCTGTGTTAGAGTCAAAGTAAGTGCATCAAGAAGCTTCGAAACGTGAAGGAAGGCTTGGATCTGGAGTTTTGGTTTCCTTTTTCATCATCCAAAGGTATAAAGCTCAAACCCTTAGGGTTGTTTTGCTAAATCTCTTATTAGGTTCTTTATTGCTTCTTTCTTGGTCCCAAATGCTCCATTTTGAACATGGCTTCTTCTGGATAATTTGAGCTATCCTTTCAGACCCTTAGAGGGGTCCTTAATCATAAAAATGAGGTGCTAATGGTTAGAAGTGTCCCATGTATTTGGTAGAAAGGTCTTAATGGGCTAAGATTTGGCATTAATAACTTTTGGACGTCTAAAGTCATAAAGTTGGAAACTTTATGACTCTAAGGTGCATTTAGACCATGGATCTGAAGTTTGGGCATAAATTCTTAAGGCATTAAGCACTTATTCAAGCTTGAACTCTGCAAGGGTACCCCCCCCCCCCACATAGAAGGGCGTATACCCCATGTACACGGTCAACGCCCCCGTTTTAGTCAATGCGAGGCTCGCATATGCCCTGTGTAACTTCGTGGTACGCCCATCGTACGCCTTATATTAGGCTTTTGCGACTTAGGTTTCGGACAATAAGTATGACGTTGTTCCATGTATTTATCCCACTGATATCTTGAATAGAGGATTATATGATCACTTATCTAAAATAGAGCGTCTCATTTCTACATAGGCTTTTAAGAGCTACGATTGCTAGTTGGTGTTTTTAAGTCATACTTGCAGTCATAGCTGTAGAACTCGTTACTCAGTACCTGTTCGGCCGACTACCGAGTAGTGAGTACTCGGGGATTACTCGGATTCAGTAACTCATGTATAAATATATTTAGGGAAACTATATATGTCAAAATCATAATTTAAAATCATAAGTTAATTGAAATATATATAAAAAAAAAATAGATACACGTGAATACACAAAAACTGAAAAACACATAATGTTCTCACTTTGTGAATAATTACTGAAAATTTAAGATATGTATGTAGCAATAATCACATGTGTGAGTGTTATAATAAATCAGTAAGTATATTATAAATATTAATCATCGAGTTGACCGAGTTCTACAATACTGCTCAGTTTAGTAAGGGGCCGATCGACGACTACTCGTGATTCTGTAATTCGCCTCGGTAAAGGGCCAAGTAGCGAGTACTCGGAGGAGTAATCGGTCAACTCGATGAGTTTTACAACACTGCTTACAATTATAGTTATTAGACTTATCCAAGTGGGAGACTATTTGATTTAGTGTCTAAGCCCATAACTATAATTGGCATGTACTTGACCCGAGAGTAGCATGCTCCATTTGGGTTGCATGGCACCGGAATAATTTATAGGATGGACTTTGTAGATGAGGATATTATTTATTAATATATTTTAAGTTGTAATATATTAATATGAAATCGTATTATTAAATTAGTATTGATCAAGAATCAATTTGGAATTAACACTACTAGAAAAACAGCCTTTTACGATGCTCATTCCACGTCGTAAAAGACTCAAACGATGCGCAAATGCATGTCAAGGAAGGCCCTGTCATAAAGAGAGACGACACGCTTTTGTGCGTCGTCTATAGACGACGCGCATTTATGACGCTCATTTAAGACGCGCAATTCCGACGCGCGTTTACGACACGCAATGCGTATCAAGGAAGGCCCTATCATAAGGGAAGACGACATGGATTCGCGTGTCGTAACCTTACAAAACGTGTGTTAATGACACACAATGTGTATCAAGAAAGCCCCTGTCTATAAAGGTCATGCTATAAATGAAGATGACACACATTTTTGCGTATAATAATAATAAATGTTTAAAAAAAATATTATTTATAGGTTTACTTATTTTCAAATTAAATTTGTATTTAATGTTTCATAATAGAAATTAAAATATAATATAAAAAAAATAGAATCCATTGCATAAATTTAATGTCATACAAATAATCGTTCCATAGAAAGATAAAACAAATCAATAGAAGTTGTAACAAAAATTTACAAACGAATTAGATACAAAAAATACAATCCATTGCCTCTTTGCTTATTCAAGATCAACCTGCAAGTAGCTAGCTAATCTCTACAAATTCACCCTTGTTTCTAATCATTTTCTTAAATACTTTACAAACATAATTCATCCATATATAGTACCTGAACTATAGTTGCAGCTAGCCTTGTTTCTTCTTCTTCTGAGCTCATCTCTTGCAACCATTGCTCTAAGCCTAGTCTGAATAGATACAACAACTCCTTGTCAATTATGTGAAAAATACAACCGGAGAGTGGCCTACCTTCATAATAGCAACAACTAACGAAGCAGGAATGAAAGAGAAGGCAATACTCACAAAAATAGTTGTAGAGAATGCATGTAGGTCCTACAAGATCATACAAATCACTATTTAAATACACACTACATATAAAGGTTTCAATATTCTGATTGCATGTACCTAATATATAAAGACTCCAAGAATAAATAGATGTGTTATGTTACCTTGAGACACCTTTGAAGGGGATCCAAAAGATAATCTATAGTCTTATCAACTTGTTTCTACTTCTTATTGTTATGCTTCTGTATTTTTTGGCTTAACAGCAAAGGAGTCAAATTACCAGAAGCTTTTCCCGTCTGTGGGTCCTAGATTTGGATTTCTCCATACTTGCTTCCACTTACTAGATGTTTGCCATTTGGTGATCATGCAACAAAGAAAACCCAATTCTTGTGCCCTGAATAGATATGTAAAAATATAACTATTTGTTTGGCTTTTGTGATTATGAAGTTATGATAAACCTGCACAAACACAATAAATGAGTAAATTACACTTGTGGTCCCTAAGTATAGCTTCTTTTGAAATTTTGGTCACAAAAAGATTTATTTTGCAAATTTGGTCCATAATTTTGAAGTTTCCTAACGACTCTGGTCTCAGTGTCGTATAAGTATACCATAGGGACCAAATATATAATTTTCTCTTATCTTCTAAGTATAGCATTTTATGTGCGTTTGATTTCTTTTCTTAAATTTATAATAGTTATAGAGTAAATAAATTTATATTAATATATTAATAAATGATTCAACTTACAATATACCCCAAAAATATTATATATTTAAAAAGAGTATTATGCACGTGTAAAATATTATAAACCTTAATTTACAAACATATGAGAATTACAAATCTGGCCCCTATGGTATACTGTTCTATCAGTTTTGGTCATTTATTTAGGCTGTTAAACTTAGAGATGTTGAAGTTCACAGTTTTCTGTTCTATGAGATGTTGATAGGTACACCAACACAGATGCTAAACCAACTAAAAGGGCCTAGTAAAAAAATTGTAAATGTTTGTTTTGAAATTAAAAAAAAGTAAAAAATAAATAAATAATTACATACCTGTAAGTGAAATAGGAAGGGGAACTTGGGTTTTGAGACATTGTTTATGAGATAAAGCCAATACTTGTTATCTTTGGTATGCATGTCTAAATACCTACTAACTCCTCCTATTACAACACTTACAACTCCACTCATAGATCTGAAAAAAGAATCAGATGATGTCATCAAATGATGATCTTTAACTAATGATGATAACTGGCACTAGAAATGTATTGTCAGGAATCTCTGTAAAAATTGACAAAAACCAACATGACCTACAAACACAAAATTTGAAGAAATGAAATAATAACAATGTATTGGGGTGTATTTGATGGGGGTAAAAGGAATGCATTGAGGTGGAAATCATCTTCAAAAGATAGCCACCAATTTTATCAGCAAAGTGTTGAAAAGGTACATGCAATACAAAATCATTAACAAACATAATATATTTTATTTTTTATTGAAGTATATGAAAATTGAAGTAGCTAGTTTAGTTAGCTATCTCATTTTCCTGTTTGATATCATGGGTAAAGAATTGTTACATAAAAATCCTATACAGAGTAATAAAGTAGGAGGTTATTTCCTATAGTGTATGCAGACAAGAAAGGGAAAAAAACTTACAGGTTCTGCAATATAGACACATGACAGGTCCTTCAAAAGGTGAATTGAGAAAAACAAATACGTTTGCATCATTCATGAGATTAATACTTAACCTCCTTCCCATAATTATTCTTTGCATTTCATTGTACAATCTGTTAATCAAATTTATATGTAAAAAGGTCATCAATTTGAACTCACATTCCAACACCTTCTTTGAATAGATGACTATAATTTCTCGCAACAATTAAACTTATCAAAAGGAAAGAAAACAACAATCTAGCTTATAAAAGATTAATAAATAGAGGGCCTAAAATTGCTTAAAGCTCAACACCATTAATTGCTAATCAATAAGATAATACTTTGTTTTTTTAACTTCTCCAACCATTGGTGGTTGTTGAGTTGACCCGACATCTTGTTGGAAAAATCAGGGTTTCCTTCAACTTCTCTAACTTTGTCCATAAAAAGGGATGATGGGCTTACTTCCTTCAAATCAACATTCAGATTCTTGAACAAAACCTGAAAGGCCACAATAACAATAGTGAATATAGTATATTATCGGAATTGATGTTATATACTTTTTGATTATGATGTGTGTAATATGATGTGTGTGCAGAAGAGTAGGGATCTTGCTGGGTACCATAGTTTTTAGCATAAGTAACCTGAACAGGAAGGGTTTGTCCGCTTGCAACCCCACCGTATGCTTGGTACACATCCACCACACCACGTGTGGCTGCAACTGCAACTGGTTGTGCATACGAATCTTGACTGTTCACCATTGTTCCTCCAACCTATATATACATATATATATATATATATATATATATATATATATATATATATTACAACAATTCATAACTTCAAGTGGGAAAATTACTAAATTACCCTTGATTAAGAAAAAACTAAGTAACCGACGGTTGTGAACTCTAGGGGGGCCCGGAACCGAAGCTTGTCCAATGTTTGCCACATTCATATCAACACCACTTGGATATCCGATTTAAAATAAAATATAGATATTAATGTATAACAAAGTACATAAATATGAGAAATGACTAAAATACCCTGATGCGTGTGAAGGAACTGGATAAGCATGGGTTTCATATTCCACTGCAGTGGCATGACAGGTATGAGGTTGATACTCACTTGGAGACGGAGGAGGAGGAGCAAGATAACTAGGAGGAGGATGTTGATGTTGATGCTGATGTGGATTATATTCGTGCTTCATAAAAAATAAATAAATATTTAGTTATTAAATTAATAAATTCCCATTTCCCGATTTTAAATTTTACCTTAAAAGGTTCATAACGACCACCTCTATTCCACGTTTTGTATCTCTAAGATATCTTGCCCTAAATCTTGATGCAATCTGAGCCAAAGATTCTTTTGCAACACCGTAACTCCCAGGCACCAAGAAGAGTATTTTTGGAAATTGTAAAAGATCAAAAATGATAATTCAGGAAATTGAAAAAACCAAAAGGGTATGTCTGGAAATTGAGATACCTGAACAAGCTCTTCATTTTCAGCAGCACACTTGGGTTTATCTTCATTTTCAGCAACACACTTGCAAAAACTTTAAACTTTTAAAACCCATCTTAGAAGGACTAAAGGTTAGAAAGGAAAAGTAATGAAGCTATGAGTTGAGAAAAGAGTATTCACAGCAAGGTCTCAAAAACAGACCTACTGTTCAAAACGGATTTACTCCAAAATCTAAAACATAAACATAGCTATGACTAAATTTTTTAGGAAAATATGATTGTTCAGGATTCCAGAACTATAAAGAACCCCTTCTAACTCCAAAGGATGAATTAAATATAAATTTTACAAAAAGGTGTATCACTTCTATCTCCAACAAGGTAGTCAAGTGAGGTTGGGCAATTCTACCCAACTTGTGAGTAGAATTAGTCCAAACCAAAATTTAGAGAAGTAAAGGACATACAAATGAAAGTCTCAGAGTTATAAATGAATGAAAATCATTTCCCATGCTCTGGATATAAAATTCACATTGTGGATAATCACAGCACTAGTAAAAGTTGGTGACTGCCCACTGATCTGGAGTGTGGATCCATTCTAACCAATTTATAATTGGAAATAACACCCCATCTACTCTAGATCTTAAATTCATAATATTAGGAACATATAGAAACTTGGAATCACTCTGGATCATTCTCCAAGCCTTAGAAATGATGAAAACAAAACGACATATCAGAATAGACCCGGATCAAACCTAACAGCAAAGACGCCATTCTTGCCCATCGATAAAGTCCTTATCAGTGAGGTTGGCCTTCTTAAGAAAGTTAGCCAACTCAATTTGTGAACTTTGGGCACTGTTTTGGGGTCCGTTTGAGTTTTATAGCTCAAGGTATGACTTTTACAAAATGACTATAGATCTGATGCAAAACAGAATCGTAGCCACCCGTGATTCCTTTTTAGCTTATCCATCCTTCTCCATTGTTAAAAAAAAGTTCTACTAAGAACTGATACAGATACAAGACATGAAATCTAAGTAAACGATTGAGATGAACATGTAATCAACATTTCATAGATGTAAACATGATATCCCATGCCTCTAACATGGAACATGATATACACATATCAAAACTTTTAATTGAATTCACAAATACTTACACTAGCCAAAATCAAGGGATATCAAGTACCTTAATTGATGACTTGAGTAGTGAACTACAGTCATTTTCTGTGCAATCCATCATATAGATCATTGGAACTTGGTAAAAGAAGAATAAAAACCAATTAGTGAACAGAAAAAAAGTAAAAAGGTAAAAGGAGCTAAACAGAAAGTTATACCAAATGAAAATACAAATGCTATCTACGTCTTACCATTCCTTGAATGTCTGATATACCTCGCGAACCACAAGTTCTTCCAGTTTATCATCATCAGGTTGAACATTTGTTACTGGCATTGTGATATCAATATCATCAAAGAGTAGTTGGAAGCCTAAATCTTTAGCAAGTGAAAGAGGACATTTTGGGACCAAACTAAAAAAACTAGCTGTACTCAGGGCCAAAAGTGTAGTTTACTATATCTTCTTTATAAACCATCATCCGAAAAAACTATTAAAATTACTAATACAAAAAAATTAAGAAAAATGTATAATTAAGTTGGATGCCATGTTGGCATGGAAAACTATTTAACCAGCTATAACAAGTTAGGTTGCCATGACCCATTTTAGTCCAACAAATAAGCTATAAAAATCAGTACCTACCTAGTGTGATCATGACCCATTTTAGTCCAACAAATTAGGAAAAAGAATCCATATAGGCTTGCCCTGTATGGATTCGAGTGCAAGGTGTGATTAGGTACCATATCATGTGGTCTTGTGTACATCTGGTAATGTTATAAGGTATGAATTAGGTAAGATTCTTCTTTTAACCATTTCTTCGAACACTTGGAGTGCATAGCTCATCTCCTTCATTTTCTGCGAGTTCCCAGAATCTAGGGTTTAACATTCTATTCTCAAAACATATGTTCAATATTATCAATACAAGCAGAAAGTAAAGACACCACAAGAACATAGAAAAATACCTTTTTTTTTTTTTGAAAGAGTAAAGGACCGAGAATTTTGAGGAATTGTATGTCTCGTGACGGAATCCATCAAGAACTTCTGTGACTTTCAACACATAAATGTACCTATACGAAATTCTGAAAAGTAAGGATGATGACAATGCACTGGCTGTGAGCATACGTGAGCAATAGAAACAGGAAAATGAAGGCTGAGAAATTAGGTCTAGCCAGTGTTTGCAAACACATTTGAACCTAAAAATTGATTTCAGGGGAAATTTTGCAAGGATTTCGAGAAGGAGAGACTCAATGAGGTTTTGAATATCGTATGAGAACGTATGAGCAAGGAGAACAAGCCCTAAAACTGATGATTCGGAAAGAGGGTTTACTTTTGTTGAATCGATTGGTGTGATTACCTGAGATTGAGAGTGTTTTCTCTTTCTTGAATATGTGATGATCTGATGACTGTGGCTTGGAAATGAGTTCTAACCACCATCATCTTCGATGTGATTATCAATTTGATTGATTGAATTGTTGGGTTCCATTTAGCGGTGGTTTGAGGGTGGAAATGGAAATGGAACGAGTGCCACCAAGGAGATTGGGAAGCGGAAGAAGAGAGAATCAGAGATATTTGAAGTGTGGATTGAGTTTTTAGTGTTCAATTTCAACTCAATTAGTAAAGAGTCCAAAACGATTACACCTCCCTGTACCTCACTCAATAATTGAAACCATAGAAATTCTTGAGTTTTGTATGAACTTTTCTCACGAATGATGTTCAGGTCGCCGGCTCCAAAGCGCCATAATCATGCTGAGATCCAGAATCATATACATTTGTTGTTTACAAATCTGTTGTTGAACCCTAAAGAATCGACCTAGGTATTCCCACCGCTGAAGATGAAGATGAAGGCCCTAGGGCTTTTTCTTGCTAAGTAGAAGAGGTGGGGGGGATTAATTTTTGGGATCCAATACGCGAGGGTAATTTTCGTCGATTTCATTTCCCGCCTAAAACGCGTGTTTCACCTATAAATTATAAAGAGACACGTTTACATGATGCACGTTTTATTAAAGGCGCCCTCCGCATTTTTTTTCTTTTCTGACACTAATTTTAGGGCACGCACAAATGCGTGCCCTCTATCCTTCAGATTTTACAAAACTAACATTATTTTTTAGGGCATGCACAAATTCGCGTCCTCTATCAGCAAGTGTCATTGTTTGCGCGTCATTAAAGGGTTGTTTTCTTGTAGTGTAATTTTGTGATCAAAGAGACTAATTAAATAAATGGGGATTGATTTGGTAAATCATTCATTCTTATAAAGTGGGCTTATGGTCCATAGTATTTCATGTTGGCTAAACCCATGTGGTGACCCATGGATACTCCATGGAAGTTAAAACCCATGTAGCATGAGGAATATGGAAAGTCATGCACATTGGGGTTTGCATGGTATAACCCTAATTGTGCCACACTATATAAGAAGCCTCATAGCTCATGAAATGTCACCTAGAGTCTTTGTAAGAAGTGCTAGCCGATTTTTTAGTGTATATCTATTCTCAAGTTTCTTCCAATTTGTTGGTAGTGTTGTGTGAAGCATTTGAGGTATCACACTTGGGGTGCTAGGCTCTTAAAGGATTAAGGAATGAAGCTACAAGAAAAGGTATGTTATTCTACTAGAGTTTTGTATTACATATACTTCAAGGTATGCTAGTTAGGATGGAACCTTGGAAAAATCAAAATTTTCATGTATAATAGAGAAAACATAAATCTAAGGTTCCTAGGATTGCATGCACACCTTAGGAGTTTCAAAATGCTCAAAACCCTTCAATAGGATGATACTATGCTTATTGATATGTATTATCCGAGCTTGCCTGTTAATTTACTATGTAGTTATGAGTTATTTAAATGTTGACCTGTGTGTGTGGTTGGGTTGAGGCGGTACTACTTTGTACTGTAGTCCAACAAACCTTGGGTGGTACGAATAGGCTGAAGGCCTACGAGGCAGTCCAGTCAGGCCGAAGGCCCGACGAGTAGTCCGGATAGGCTGTAGACCCTACGAGGCGGTCCAATCATGTCGTAGGCTCGGGAGCGATCCAGATAGGCTAAAGGCCCTGCGAAGCGGTCCATTCTGGCTGAAGGCTCATTATGCAAGTTGTTGATTATGTTTATGTTGGGTTTTGTATACTACAACATCCTATGGTGCACATACAACCCTAAATGCTTTGGATCTATGTTTTCTCTAACTATACATGCAATATTGTTTCCAAAACATGAAGCTTACAACTAGCATATGACATAAACAACGTAGAATTGAGTTATAGAATTACCTCTTTGTTGTAGCTTGTAGTTGTGGCCTTTAAGAACTTAGAACCTCAAATGGTTCACAAACACCATGAAAAAATAGAGGACTTTTGAGAGAGAATATGGAGCACTAAAATTCGGCTATGCTTCTCTAAGAATACATGTTCAAGCAATCTAAGGCCTAAGAGGTGTCATATATATAGTGTTGGAATCCAAGAGTCATGGGTAAACCCTAATACATACACTTGGATAACGATCCAGATTTCATGTGGGATAACTCTTCATTAATATCTACATGAACTTAGCCCATCATGGATCAATAGCCCAAACAATATATATACAATTAATTTACATAATCAGTCCCCATTAATTGAATTAGTCACTTTTTTATCACTAAATTAAATCCAAATTAATTCTTGATCAAGACTAATTAATAACATGATTTCATATTCATATATTAGAACTTATAATATATTAATAAATCATAAATAAACTCTTTCTCAAATATCCATCCTATCAGATTGTTATGGTGAAGAAAACTCAAATGGACCATGCTACTCTTGGGTCAAGTACATACTAATTATAGTTATGGTCTTAGACACCTAATCCAATAGTCTCCCACTTGGATAAGTCTAATAACTATTATTTCAAGTACAAATTAAAACCCAACTAGCAATCTTAGCTCTTAAAAGTCATTGTCGAACACTGACCCAGTCAATGACGCATCCATTAGATAAGGGATCATATATTCCTCCATTCTAGATATCATATGGAATATGACATGGATGATAATCATTCTCTCTGTCTATTTATTGTTTCCTGATTTCCAACTTAAGATAACCGGCTAATTGAACAAATCAAATCAGTCCAGGCTTGGCTGAGCTCTTAGGGTTGCCATCACTAAATCATTGAGGGGCCCATATATATCACTTTTATCCCTCTAAGGATAAAAGGAATAGATAACTTCGACTTAAATTTTTGTTCTATCTACTTATCAAATCACACACAACAATATGTTTTATAACACCAAGTTACTAGTACGTTTACATATTATCAATGTGCAACCGACTTGTAAAATGCAACTCATATCTCTCCGTTTCAAGAATATAAGCTATTATCGTCTAATGATCACTCGTGATAAAATCGATGAAGTGATTTAAATGAGCGTGGGTTTAGTCCAATACTTAAATCTTATTATAGTACTACTCATGAATACTACAGCAAACTTGTGCTATGTCTAAACCACCTAGACAATCTACAATCAGATTCATGCCAGTCTTGCCTAAATACCTACTTCCAAAGTATGATCGACTACAGATAGTTTGAATAATTTTATTATTATGGAAGTTAAAACATGCAAAGTGAAACACAAGAATAATCGAATCCAATATGGTCTCAGAACTTATGAATATAAATAAAAAAACCTTTTATTTAATCACCATATTGATTACACATTATTCATTGTATAATGTTTCGATTAATCAACTTAATAATTGAATTAAAACAATATTTATCCCATGCTCCAAGCGTGCACAATATGTTTACCTATGGTCATTTCTTTGTGAAATAGATCAATTGAAAACATTTCAATGATGCTCATTTCACAGTTCTTCTCTTTATCCCTAGTGTAAGAATACCAAGTTCTTGCCACTATTAGAATGTGTTAGGTTCTAACCTTTATGCAATGATCCTTTTGTAATGTAAATGCACCAAAGTCATAGAGATTTGGACAATGAAATTACAAAGTATTCCACTGAATATTGATAACAAAACAATTCCATGGAAGTCAAGTCTCAAATTCAAAGTACATTCCTTTGAACATCTTTCTTGCGTAAAAGTTTCTAATCTACACATACATTTAAAGAATAACTTCCACTTTTGGAAACATTTCCATATTCACATTTTGACTATCACTTCTAAACAAGAGTTACCGCTTCTCAGAGTATGCCAACATGTTCCTTCCAAAATTTACTCTATACTTCCGACTGTCCATAAGCAACCAATCTTTGGTAAACCGCAGATTGTCCTCGATAATTGGTTAACCATTTTAGTCATATCCAGTTCTGGTCCATTTTCCCTCTTAATTCCCTAGGCATTTGGAATCAACCCTATACCCGAAGCATATGGGATACGATCCATAATGTCTCACATAAAGATGTGATACTTTACTAGTCTCTTGCTATCATATTTCCACATATAGAATTTCTTTATGTTGAATCATAACATTCATATATATTTTTGACTAAACTCAATTAAAATCGCAATCTAACCTTTTAGAATTGAAATTAAGTATGAATTCTTTTCCCTTAATTATAGCAAAACAACTTTTCAAACCCTGTAACTTTGCGATTTGAAAGTTTTGTTTTCTATAATTAACATTGCTAACTTGCAACATTTACCATAATAATTATGCTCCCACTAGCATAATAATTATTATCTTCCTAGCATAACAATTATTTTCCCACCAGCTTTGACATGTACCCATAAATCAGCTGGATTTCTAGAAATCAATATTTATTGACTTCCATAACAAAGTTAAGATTTCTGATACGAGATGCTTCGATAAGACATTATCTAGGCTTCTCAAACTCATACACCTTTCCTTAGATAGCTCACATGTGTGTCTAAACAATTTTAGAAGTTAGAACAATAAGTCTCAAATGTATAGACCTTTTGCCATTTCTCAAAATTCGAACTATGAAGAGGGATGTCGTAATCATAATTGAATTTGAGAATGCAAATATCACAAATGCTATCTCCTTAATATATACTTAGTGAAAGCATTTCTTCACAATCATTTTCATGAAGCAGAGATAAACCTTATGACACTTGGATTTTATGGTGTATGTTTTCCTATCCATGTGAATTTTTCATAACCATAATTATAAGACAAGATTAGTGACAAATCCAAACTCATATGGACTGAACATGTTTAATCTTAATTTCTTGCCACCTGGAAGCACAAGGTCCTACCGTTGCTTCCAAGTAGTTATTCATGAAATTGAGTACTCTTAGAATTCACATGCATAGTCAACTTTAACTGGAATAGGCACAAAAACAAGACTATGTCAACACGATATGTTATAAACCTCAAGTCGTGAGTTAGTGGTTAATAATAAGTTTACTCTTGATTAGCTCTTGAACCTTTTCAAGATGTTTAAGACTCCCACTGACCTCTTGACATATAAGTTTCTCTTTGTCAAGAG